CAGAGAGAGAGACTGATGTAGTGTGGTGGAATAATCGTGTGCAGGTACAAAGCATCACTGAAGGCAGATCCTTATTGCTATGAGGTTTGTACTTAGCAGTAAAAAGACATGTTGAGGGCTCAATCAAACTTGAAGTTTTCATGTGCTGGCAATCTCTGGCGGTGTCACTTTATGAAATGGATCGATGGGATTGATATCCTGCGCAGTATTTAATAATCCACAGTCCAACCTGAGTGGATCATTCCACTTCCAGAAAAAAAGCATGAGACTCGGTACCCGCTTGCTGCTGGTATGCCTTCGATTTCTCCTCTGAGTGGATCGGTTTCTTGTGCCTTGATTTTGCCCCTTCTGCTTACAAGTTGAATACGCCAAAAAAAAAAAAAAAACCCTTTTCACTCAAGAGAAAGAATGCTCAAGAATCCTTTTTCTTTGATTGATAGGACATCTCGATATGTGCCCTTCCTTTTGGACTCATCCGCCTGTATAATATTTGCCGTGTGAATCTGAAGAAAAATGACCTGGCCCGAGTGTGAACAGGGTGTTTTTCTGAAAAGGAAAACAAGTCAAGAAAAAAGGAAACCAAAACAAAATCACCTGAAAAAAGGTACATTGTAGAGGGCAGTAAATTAGTAGTACAAACAACTTTTGGCTTAGGGTCAGCCCAAAATTCTTAGAGAATTGAAGATTAAAAAGCCAGAAAAATAAGCAGTATGTCAATATTTAAATTCTTTTTTAATTAACAGGGGCCCTTGATGAACCTCCCCCCAACATTCTGGCCTGGACTGTACGGAGCAGATATTCGATCTGAATATCTTTTTCTTTTTCGTTTTTTTTCTGTGGACCATTTCTCGATTTATGCGTGTCATCCTTGCGCAGGGCCTGTCTCTTATACACATCTAGATGTGTATAAGAGACAGGTGAGGGGGAGTTCGTGGGGTTGTTAGGGGTTCTGGACACACAAAAAAAGGTTTTTTTTTTTTTTTTTTTTTTTTGTGGGATGCCGAC